TCAGCCTGCTTGTACCCCTGGGGTGACAGCAGCCCAGGGTAACAGGCTGGCCACCTGGGGTCACTCTAGGGAGTGAGTAGGCTCTGCACACTCAATAACCTCAGGCACCCTAGGAGGAAGTGATGAGAGACAGAAAAAGAGAAGTACCCATACAGGTCACCAAAATGCCACTCCGGGGACACCATTGACAGGCTGCAAATTCCCCAAGACAGCAGAAGGCAGTGGCAGAGTTTATTAGATACATGAGGCGAAGCCACAGTGAGAAAGCAGAGACCCTGCCTGTAGGGGTGTTCTAAACTTAACAAAAAAAATCTTAAAATTATTCTTTTGTTTTTTGAAGTTTCTGTGTAACTAGGCTGTCCTTGTCCTGACTTTTTCATGGCTACTAATGGAACTTATCTAAATCTCTGTCCCTCTAAAGAACTTAAGATTCAAAGGTTAAGGTGGAATTCTGCTCCTCAGGGGCTGAACAGCAAGTAGCCCACCTCGCATCTTCCTTTCGAGTCTCTCCAGAAGTCCCCGTGGGACTCTTCGACTCTCCTTATAAACCCTTCTCCACCTGGCTCCTCCCTACCACTTCCTGTCAGCTAGTTGCTGACTCAATCTCCTAACCGAAGGTGAATTTTATTTAATCGATGACATCTTTGCATCATTAAACAAATGTTCTAGAGTATAACCAAAAGTAACACACATGGTCTTGGCTTACCGGAGAATGCCCAAGTCTCTTTCTTCCTTGGCAGCTACATGGCGTTTCTTTCACAACTCATTCTCTATGTTCCTCTCCCAGAATTCTCTTAGTCTGGTAGCCCTGCCTATACTTCCTGCTTGGCTACATTCCACCTGTCCATTGGACAAAACAGCTTTATTCATCAACCAGTAAGAGAAACATATATTCACAGCACTCAGAAGGACCTCCCCCATCACCATGCTTCTCTGTTTTAGACATGGTCTCATTATTTAGCTCAGGCTGGCCTCTGCTTCCTGAGTGGTGAGACTAAAGGTGTGCACTACTAGACTGGACCACCCTTTTTTATAAAAGTATTTTTATTTTTTGTGTATTAGTGATTTGACTACATGCATGTATGTGCATGCAAACATACATACCTGATGCCCAAAGGGCCCAAAGAAGGCATCAGACCTTCTAGAACTGGAGTTACAGATGGTTGGGAGTTGCCTTGTGGGTTCTTGAACTGAACCCAGGTCTTCTTCAAAGAACAAGGGCACTTGACCACTCCAGCTTCCCAGCCTGAGTCTTTTCAGAGAGACTTTCTCTCAGGGGAGGCAAGATTCTTTTTTCTTTTTCTTTCTTTCTTTTTTTTTTTTAAGATTTATTTATTTATTATGTATACAGTGTTCTCCCTGCATGTATGCCCACAGGGCACCAGATCTCATTACACAGTGTGGTTGCTGGGAATTGAACTCAGGACCTTTGGAAGAACAGCCAGGACTCTTAACCACTCCAGCAGCCAAGGCAGAGATTCTTGACTGCACCACAGATAGGGATTTTGGGATCTGTCAGTAGGATACAGACTTTTGGGGGCCTGGTTTATGATACACACCTTTAATCTCAGCACTTGAAAGGTAAAGGAAGATGGATTCCTGTGAGTTCAAGGTCAGCCAGGGATACACAGTGAGACACTGTCTCAAAACAAAACAAAAAGCAAGTTGTGTCTGTGCCTTAATGCGAGCCCTGGGGACAGAGACAAGCAAGTCTGTGGAGCTCACTGGCCAGCCATTTTAGCCACACCATTGAGTTCAACTTGGGTGAGAGACCCCTGCTCAAAACAATGAGGTAGAGAGGAACTGTGGAAGATATCAGATGTGTACTCTGAGCTCCACAGGTGTATGGGTCCACAAATGGACCAAGCACCTCAAAAAAGTGATATTAAATAAGAAAAATGCTGGGTGATGGTGGCCCATGCCTTCAATCTCAGCACTTGGGAGGCAGAGGCAGGCGGATTTCTGTGAGGACAGCCAGAGCTGTTACATAGAGAAACCCTGTCTTGAAAAACCAAACAAATAAACAAGTTGTTTCTTTTCCTTTTTTAGGAGGGTGGGAGTAGTTTCAAGGCAGGGTTTCTCTGTGTAACCCTGCTGTCCTGGCACTCGCTCTATAGACCAGGCTGGCCTCAAACTCACAGAGATCGGCCTGCCTCTGCCTCCCGAGTGCTGGGATTAAAAGCGTGCGCCACCAACACCTAGCTCCACTTAGTGTCTTAACCATATCCACACATATGGTTTTGGAGGTTTCTGAAAGTAGGTTTCTATGTTTTTGAAGAGACATCCCCTTCTTCCCCCTCTCTCTTTCTTAGTAAATGAAATCATAGTGTTTGCTGAAGGGTTCTGGGTAGGATGGCAGCTGACAAGGTAAAACTCGAGACTGTAAGATTGCACAAGGGAGTGGAGACAGCTTTTCACTGTGAACAAAGGTTGTTTGCAAGATTTTCTGAAAGTTTTGGGTTTTCATGTGAGGAAAGAAAATGCTGGAGCTTGCTGGTGGCCACTTGCTTAGCTGGTGGCTGTGTTAGTCTTCTCTCTGCAGAGAAGGGCATTGTCTCCACTGTCACAGCAGCTCAGCAGATGCTGTTAACTGCCCCTGACTCTTGACTCCCGGCTGTCTGGAGACTGTAGACTCTGCTTTCCCGTGAACATTTCCCTGTTGATCTTCTTCCTTCCTTCTTTCCTTCCTTTGACTGACTCCTTTCTAGCCAGCCTAACTTCAAACTCACTATGTAGTTGAGGGTGACCTTGAACTCCTGATCCTCCTGCCTCCACTTCCAGAGGACTCAGATTGCAAGAAGACTTCACCCGGGCTGGTCTACACCATACTGGATGTAGAGCCCAGAAAATTTTGCATGCCAGGCAGGAACTCCAGTCAGTGAACCAAAGCCCCAGACATTATGTGGTTTTTGTTGCTGCAGTTGACTTCTTTTTAACTTACAAAAAAAATTGACACAAGGTCTCAGTATTGTTTGTGTTTTACTCTTTTGGTCTTTAGGCCTTTTTAAGAAGCCACTACCCAGTTCCCAAGTAAATCACACACGGAGTCTTATTCTTAGTTATTTGTGCCCAGCCTTAGCTTGGCTTGTTTCTAGCCAGCTTTTCTTACCTTAAATTATCCCCTCTACCTTTCCTCTCGGGGCTTTTATCTTCCTTACTTCTGTATATCTTATTTCCTTCTTACTCTGTGGCTGGGTGGCTGGCCCCTGATGTCATCCTCTCTTTGTTATCTTGCTCTCTGTCTCCTTGTTTCTCCTATTTGTACTCTGCCTGGCAGCCCCACTTGTCCTTGCTCCTGCCTCGACATTAGCTGTTCAGCTCTTTATTGGGACCACTAGGTGTTTTAGACAGGCACAGCAACACAGCTGCACAGAGGTAAACAAAAGCAGCATAAACAAAATCATACCTTAAAGCTGAGCAGTGGAGGCACAGGAGGCAGAGGCAGGCGGGGGTCTGTGAGTTTGAGTCCAGCCTGGTCTACAGAGTGAGTTCCAGGACAGCCTCCAAAGCCACAGAGAAACCCTGTTTCGAAACCCCCGCCCCCCCCCAACATCTCAGCACCTAAGTCTGGATGGCCTGGAACCCACTATGTAGACCAGGCTGTGCTGGAACCCTCTATGTAAATCAGGCTGGTCTTGCACTCACAGAGATTTGCCTACCTCTGTCTCCTGAGTACTGAGATTAAAGGCATGAGCCACCAGGCCTGTTTTTTTGTTTTTTAGTTACATGTGTTTGGATGACTCTTTGTGTGTCTGTGCATGTTGAGTACACTGCCCTCAGAGGCCGGGGTTTAGTTACATGTGTTTGGATGACTCTTTGTGTGTCTGTGCATGTTGAGTATACTGCCCTCAGAGGCCGGGGGGGGGCATCAGCTCCCCTATATCTGGAATCACAGGTGGTTGTGAACATCCGTGTGGATACTGGGAACTTTTTTTGGAGGGAGAGATTGAGACAGTGTTTCTCTGTCCTGTCCCTGCTGTCCTGGCACTCGCTCTGGAGACCAGGCTGGCCTCGAACTCACAGAGATCCACCTGCCTCTGCCTCCCAAGTGCTGGGATTAAAGGTGTGCACCACCAACGCCCGGCTCTGGCTGACTTTCTATTCTTCCTTAACAAGAATTTTTTAAAGGTTTATTTATTTTATTTATGCCTGCATGCATGTATATGCACACCACATTCTGGCCTGGTATTTAGGGAGATCAGAAGTTGTCGGATACCCCAGAACTGGAGTTAAAGGCAGTTGTGAGCTGCATGTGGGTGCTGGGAATCAAACTCAGGTCCTCTGCAAGTGCTTTTAACTGCTGAGCCATCTCTTCAACTCCACAAACTTTCTGTTCAAGTGCTTGGGTTCCAGCCCTGCACCACCACACAAGCTTTGCTTATCTGTTCAGCCTGTTGATCTACCTGCTGACCTACCAGCCAACCACTCGCGGTTCCTCAGCCTCCCTCTCTGTTTATATGCAGCCCAGGTTGGCTTTGAACTCCTGGGCTCCCTGACTCCCCTGCCTGAGGGCTGGAATTACAAGCATGGGCTGCCACCAGTCTCCCTTCTACTTTTGCTGTGGCCATATTTCTGTGCATGTGTCCTGGCAAGATCTTGGGCAGACAGTAGGGTGGGAGACAGGACTTGAGAGAAGGTTCTAGCCACAGAGAGAGTATTCAGGCAGAATTGGGCTGCCTCACTCAAGTGTTGGGTTCAGATGGAAGAAATCAGAGCAGGCTTACAACTGGAAAAGTGCTGTAGCCAAGACTCAGTGACTGAGCCACACCCCCAGCCTACAAGTCCTGGGGCGTCTTAAAGCAACATGCCCTGTACAGCACTTTCCAGGGCTCTAAGTCTACTATGAAAGTCCTCAGGATGAGTAAACATGGAAGCTGCTCCGGGAGGCAGGCCAAACTGGCTATCATTCCAGGAGGCTTCCAACCAAATGCCACAGGACGGTCAAGAAAGGCTGGGCAGAGGCCCAGGGGCGTGCCTAGCAGCTAGGGGGTGGAGTTGGATGTCCTCAGAGTTCCACAGTTCTGTGTACAGACAGGATGTAAGAAAAGAACTAGGGGCTCCAGGCAGAGATCTGCAAGCTACAGGCAAAGAGGGAAGCAGGCTTCTGTGAACAACACAGGCCCAGGCTGAGGGTCGGAGGAGGCCAAGGCCTGGGTTCCTAGGTTTGAAGGGCCAGCACCCAGGGTCTGAGGGAGGAGGAGGGCTGGGTCTGGACTCCTGGGTCTGAGGGAGGAGGAGGGCTGGGCCTGGGCTCCTGGGTCTGAGGGAGGAGGAAGGATGGGCCTGGGCTCCTGGGTCTGAGGGAGGAGGAAGGCTGGGCCTGGACTCTTGGGTCTGAGGGAGGAGGGCTGCGCCTGAACTCCTGGGTCTGAGGGAAGAGAATTGTGGCCTGGACTCTGGAGGGAGAGAGAATGGGCTGGCTCTGAGGGAGGAGAGCAGGAACTTGGGCACTTGAGTCTGAGGCAGTAAGGCTGAAACTAGATTTTTGGGTTTGAGGGAGGAATCCATGGGACTGGACGCCTGGGTCTGTGGGAGGTGAGGGAGGAGGATAAGGCCTGGATCTTAGGTCTGAGGGTGGAGAAAAGGAAATAACAGACATCTGAGACAAATTTTGGTCTGTCTAGTTCTGTAATTAATTAACTAAAGTGGATCAAATGATGAGGTGAAAGTTCACACAGGAGCAGGGCACTCTTGTCATCTTGGACTGGGTCCCCATCCCACCACCCAGCGTCCTGGTCTATGCGGAGTCCACAGGGGCCTTGTGAAGAATCAGCAGGGCAAGGGCCAGAGGAGTCACGTGTCCCTCCCACTTCAGGTTGCCCAGTCAGGATGGGGATGCCCCAGCCCTGGGTCCTCAGCCTCTTGTTGGTCCTCCTGCCTCGGACCTGGGGTGCAGGTAAGCAGCCACCTGGATCTGGAGTAAGCAGAGGGGACAGGAAGAAGAGCCAGAGAGTGGAAAAGAGACAGTAACCCAGGGGTGGCGGTGGCAGTGCTGCCTTTAATCCAGCACTCGGGAGGCAGAGGCAGGTGGATCTCTGTGAGTTCGAGGCCAGCCTGGTCTACAGAGTGAGTTCCAGGGGCTACACAGAGAAACCCTGTGTCAGAAAAACAACAGAAAGAGAGAGAACAAAACAACTTTTCATGGTGTCCTGGGCCTCCTGGGAATCCCACTGTGGGCAGCTTTTCTCAGCTTTTCAGTCAAATGCACTTGACAGTCTCAGGGTATCATCCCTCCCTTTCTGGGTCTCACTGCCACTCAGACTGAGTCCAGGTTTTCACAGGCATCTCTGTGGGGTGCCATCTGTGCCTCACTGACTCTCCCCTTTCCTCTGCACAGAGACCCGTCCCCCACTGATGTACCACCTCACAGCTGTGTCCAACCCATCCAAGGGGAGTCCCTCCTTTTGGGCCACAGGCTGGCTGGGTCCTCAGCAGTACCTGAGCTACAACAGCCTGCGGCAGGAGGCTCAACCCTGCGGGGCCTGGATGTGGGAAAACCAAGTGTCCTGGTATTGGGAAAAGGAGACTGTGGACCTGAAAAGCAAACAAGAGCTCTTCTTGAAGGCCCTGGGAGCCCTGGAAACCCATATTGGGCAGGAAGGTGGGGGGCAGTAGCCTGGGTCTAAGGAAGGAAAGTGGGGTCTGGGCACCTGGGTGGATGAAGGAGGCTGGATCCCTAGGTCTGAAGGAGAGGGCAAGGTCCAAACCCCTAGGAATAAGGGTGAGGGCTGGGTCTGGACCCCTGTGTCTGAGGGAGGAAGCCGGAGCCTGAGCCCTGGTCTGGGGGAGGAGGAGATACAAGGTTGCCCTTGCCCTCAGTCCGCTCACCTGTGTGTTGGCATCTAGGGAACTTCACACTGCAGGGCCTGCTGGGCTGTGAACTGGCCCCCAACAATTCCTCATTGCCCACGGCTGTGTTCGCCCTCAATGGCGAGGACTTTATGCAGTTCAACCCAAGCATTGGCAACTGGAGTGGGGAGTGGCCTGAGACGGAGATTGTTGGTGATCTGTGGATGAAGCAGCCTGAGGCAGCCAGGAAGGAGAGTGAGTTCCTGCTGACCTCCTGCCCTGAGCGGCTGCTAGGCCACCTGGAGAGGGGTCTCCAGTACCTGGAGTGGAAGGGTGAGCCCATCTCCAGTCCCTCCTCTAGATCTCTTAGCCGTGCTTGAAACCCACCCACATTCCCACACAGTCCAGTGGACCTGTTTAAGAACAGGTCTCACATGGCCCAGCCTACTCACTATGTAGTGGTGGATGATCTTGAATTCCTGATCCTCCTGCCTCCTTCCAAGTACTGGGTTGACAGAAGTGTGTTGCCATACCCAGCTAATTGTAGTCCTTCTGGCCTAGAACTCACAATGACCTGCCAGCCTCTGCCTCCTGAATGCTGGGACTCAAGGAGTATGCCACAGTGCCCGGCTGTTTTTCCTTCCTTCCTTCCTTCCTTCCTTCCTTCCTTCCTTCCTTCCTTCCTTCCTTTTGTTGTTGTTGTTATATTTAGATACACTCTCATAATCTAGACTAGGTAACCTTGAATTTATCCTTTTGATCTCAGACTCCCAAGTGCTAGGATTTTCCGTATTGCTTTTCTTCTTGTTAGCTTCTGAGAGTTCTTTATATATGTGGACCCTGCCTGTTGTCAAATAAGTGTTTTAAACACACTTCCTCTCCCATTTTCTTTTAAAGATATCTTAAAAAAGTGGAACTTTTTCTTTTTTTAAAGGTTTATTTATTTATGTGAATGAGTGCTCTGTCTGCATGCACCCCTGCACGCCTGTACAGCAGAAGAGGGCATCAGATTACAGATGGTTGTAAACTGCTATGTGGTGCTGAGAATTGAATCCAGGTCCTCTGGAAGAGCAACTGGTGTTCTTAAATCTGAGCCATCTCTCCAGGCCCCTGAAAAGTGAAACTTTTTTGTTCATCACTTTTCTCTCTTGAGCACTGTGCTTTTGTTAGTGTGTCTTGGAGGTCATTCTCAACCTCAGATGAACTAGGTCTTTCAATGTATTTGGAGGGGTTTACAGCTTTATGTGCTACACACAGGTTCCCTCTCTCTTGCTTTCCTTTCTAACAAATAGGATGTAAAGATGTTTTGTCATTTTTCCACCAAAATTTTACCCTGTCTGGATTTGAGTGTGTGTGCTCATGTGCGTGGAGACCAGATATACAGCCTCAGGTGTGGTTCTGAAAAATAAATTTTAGAGCTGGACACGTCTCAGTAACTAAGAGCACGTAGTGATCTTGCAGAGGGCCTGAGTTTGTTCCCAGAACCCACATCAGGCAGTTCACAGCTGCCCATAACTCCAGTGCCAGGGGGTCTGATGCCACTGGCCTCCATGGCTACTGGCACTGAGGTACACACACATACATGTGCACATAGTAAAATAAGATATTTGTATTTGTATACTTTTGTGCCTGTGCACATAGGAGCACAGCTGCTCATCAAGACATTATATCCTCTGGATCCGGAGTTACACATAGTTCTGATGTGTCCACTGTTGGTGCTGGAAAATGAACTCAGGTCCTCTGGAAGAGCAGCAAGCACTCTTAACCCCAGAGCCATGTCTCCAGCCCCAGCCCCTTTGCTTTTTATTCTACCTCTCGATTCATTGACTCTTTCTGGGATTGAGATCAGACCCTTTCTTTTGCTAGGCAAGAACTCTGCCACTGAGCCATGTCTGTCTTCCATCTTTTAGTTTTGTTCTACTTTTCTCCAGACAAGGCTTCTCAATATTAGTCCTGGAACTCACTCTGTAGACAAAGCTGGCCTTGAACTCACAGAGATCCTCCTGCCTCTGCCTCCCAAGTGCTGGGATTAAAGGCGTGCGCCACCACTGCCCAGCTATCTTTTAAGTTTATAAAGCATTTCTTATACTTACATTTACCTATTAATTATTTTGTCTATGTCTGTGACTGTGTATGTGTGTGGCATGTGCACATGTATGTGGGGGGTGCACTTGTCCACATGCACAGAGACCAGAGAAGGACAATGGGTGTCCTCCTCTATCACTATCCATCTTATTTCTTTGACATAAATTCTACCACTGAACCTGGAGCTACACTGGCAACCATCAAGCCCCCAGGGGCACTTTTCCCCCTGCCTCTGCCCTTAGTGCCAGGGGTATGTTTAAGTCTTTACAGAGTGCGAAGGATTTGAACTTGGGTCCTCATGAAAGCACTTTTATCTGCTGAGACATCTCCCCAGTTTGAGGAATTATGGCTGGATCCTAGTCCTTTGTGGGGCCTGGTCTTACTGTCTTCATTCATTTGCTGTTGGGTGTTTAGGTTGTTTTTGTACTTTGGCTGTTTTGACAGATATTGCAATGGAGAATAGGGGCCAGCATTTCCATGGGGTCTAGATTTCAGCTTCTGGATAAGTGCCCACAAGACATCTGGGTTCATTTTAGAAAAAAAGAATAATTATTTTTATTTTGTGTGTGGGTGTTTTGCTTCCATGTATGTCTGTGTACCATGTATTTGCAGCGCTCACATAGGCCAGAAGAGGGGATCACATCCCCTGGAATTAGAGTTGGTTATGAGTTACCTACCAAGGGGTGGATGCTGGGAATTAAACTCGAGTTCCCTGGAAGAGCAGCCACTACTTTTGCCTGCTCATTTATTCAGGAAACTCCATGATGGCTTAGTGTGGTGGTATATGTACTCCAGAGGCAGGCCAGGTGGATTTCTGAGCCAGCCACCACTAAGTGAAAAAGAAATACCATGTAGTGGAACTGTTTACACGCCGCTTAACAAGGGTTCCAGTTTCTGCAGGTACTGGCTACACTTGATACTTTCTATCTATAGGTAATTTTGTTCTTCATAACAGCCTTCTGTTACCAGGTATGGGGTTGTGTTACTCTTCCCTTCCTTCCATACTTACAAGGCAGGGCCTCTGCCACAGAGCCATCCTCACTGGGGGAATCTAGGCTCTACCACGAGCATGCCTCTGGCCCTCATTTTACTTAAAAATATTTCTGAGGTTACATTTATTTGTGTGTGTGTGTGTGTGTGTGTGTGTGTGTGTGTGTGTGTGTACACATGTTGTGCATTTGACCACAGATGCCAGATCAGATCTGCAGCTGAAATTATGAGTCATCCACTGTTGGTGCTGGGAACTGAACTCACTTCTGTAGATAGAGCAGCAAATGCTCTTGGCTGTTAATCCATCCCTCATTGGCCCTCTTTTGACTTTTTATTTTGAGATGGGGTCACACTAGGTTTCCCAGGCTAGCTTTGAACTCATTCTATGATTGCCGGGCTCACAGGCTTTGGCTTTGCAGCTTGGTGTCTATGGTGGTTAGGGTGCTTCCTTTCTTTCTGTTAAACAAAAGCTAAGGCTGGGCTGACACTAGGGGTGGAACCCTCAGGGTCAGCACTGGGAAACTGGAGAAACCCAGTGTCCCTCAGCACCACCCACAGGAAGTCATCCTCACTAGAAAACAATAGCAGCCACTGGGCAGGACACAGAACTGCTGACCGAGGTCCGGTCTTCTGTGGCCGAGCCGATGGTGCCCCAGGTCTTACCAGCTGCCTGTGAGGCCCCTCTTTCGGGGAAGCTGCCTGGCTTCCTCTTCCTAAGAAACTGTCAGCTTATTTTCTGCTGAGTACCTGCAGCTGAGGATCCGAACTGGTCCACCCCGGATGGAGGAAACGCCTCTTCCCAGCACAGCCCTGCTGGGTCCCCGGATCCCCATGGACTTGTACTTTGTTTAGGGTTTTATTGCTGTTGATTGAGGTCTTGTGTAGCCCAGGATGGCCTCAAACTTCTTTTTCTTTCTTTATTCTTTTTCTTTTTTTTTTTCTCAAGACAGAGTTTCTCTGTGGCTTTGGAGGCTGTCCTAGAACTAGCTCTTGTAGACCAGGCTGGTCTCAACTCACAGGGATCCACCTGCCTCTGCCTCATGAATGCTGGAATTAAAGGCATGTGCCACCACTACCTCAAACCTCTTATGTAGCCAAAGATAACCTTGAACTCCCATCCTCCAGCCTCCACCTTTGGAATGCTGAGATTACAGGTACATACTGCCTGGCAGTCAGATCAGTGTGCTAGTGACTGACAATCATGAATGTCAGATAAGCACTCTGCAAACTGAGCCACATCCCAGCTGCAATTTATTTATCTATTCTTCATGCATTTCTTTTGTTTTGTGTTTTTGAGACAGAGTTTCTCTGTGTAGCCTTGGCTGTCCTGGTACTTGCTATGTAGACCAGGCTGGTCTGGTACCCATAGAGATCTGCTTGAGAGTGTCCAACTCATTTGGAACTCATGGTTTTCCTGTGCTAGCTCCTGGAGCATTTGCATTACTGGTGTGGCGTGCACTGTCACATCCCAGTAGGACAGTCACATCATCAATGTGCTCCCTGGGCCTAGAACAGGCCATAGCACTAGAGAATGTGCAGTACATTTCCATTTAGGGATGGGCAGATGGGGGTGAGGCTCAGTTAGCTCAGCGCTTGCCTAACATGCATGAAGCCCTGGGTTCCATCCGCAGCACTCCATAAACCAGGCATGGTGGCATGTGCCTGCCATCTCTTAGCACTTAGGAGGTGGAGGAAGGAAGATCAGGAATTCAAAGTCATCCTTGTCTACATAGAGAGTTCAAGGCCGGTCTGGGCTACAGTGAAATTCAGTTTCAAAACAGACAAATGTGCCTGGTGAGATGCTTGGTGTGCATGAAGACCTGGCTTCTGAGCCCCAGCACACTTGCAGGAGCTGGGTTTGCTGATGCATGTCTGTACCTGCTGAGAGTGGTCTGGTGGGGACAGGACAGGATCACACAGCCTCACTGGCAACTAGTGTAGCCAGAGGGGAAACCCAGGTTGAGAGAGAGAGAGAGAGAGAGAGAGAGAGAGAGACCCTGTCTCAAAAAATAAGTGGGTGGGAACAAAGGCTAAGCAAAGGCTAAGTGGTCAAGGGCACTTACTATTCTTGCAGCAGACCTGGATTTGATTCCCAGCACCCACATGGTAGCTCATAGCCATCTGTAACTCCAGTTCCAGGGGATCTGATGTCCAATTCCGGCCTCCATGGACACTGTATGCAGTGGTACACAGACACACATGCCAAAAACACCCTTATACATAGAGTGAAACATAAATGGAGAAAGAGCTGTAGAGGAAGACACCTGCTATGGACCTCTGGCCTTGACACACACACTCATACACACACACACACACACACACACACACACACACACACACTCACCAAAATAAGGGGTGTGGGGGGATAAAGGAGGTGTTTTGGTGGGCTCAGCAGGGGACCTTCTAGGGTAGCAGGGTTGGTGTCTGTCACTCTGGAAAGCCCCCTGGGTCTGCACAGTGCTGATTTGGGGCAGGGGGTGTATGTCCATCACCAGTTTCTGCACTGAGCCTTGGGAGGGGTTCACAGCCCAGTTTAACTGCTGGCCCATCCCCTGTGTCCCCACAGAGCCACCCTCCATGCGCCTGAAGGCCCGTCCTAGCAACTCTGGCTCCTCCATACTGACCTGTGCTGCTTTCTCCTTCTACCCTCCTGAGCTGAAGCTACGATTCCTTCGTAGTGGGCTGGCCGCAGGCTCTGGGAACAGCAGCATCGGTCCCAATGGTGACGGCTCTTTCTACGCCTCATCATTGCTGGAGGTCAAAAGAGGAGACGAACACCATTACCAATGTCAGGTGGAACACAAGGGGCTGGCACAGCCTCTCACTGTGGACCTAGGTGAGGCTGTTCATCCAGCCTCGGAGTCTTCTTGCTTCTCCTGGATACTGACCCTGTATTAACCCTACCGCCAGTCCTCCTGAATCTGACCATCTTCTGTCTCAATGTTGCTGGTCTTCATAACTTCTGATCCCTCACTTTGCCACTGACAGTCCTTGCTGCGGCTTTCAGCTGACCCTCATCTGCTTTGATGCCTCTCCTTCCTCAGTTGGGTTTTCACCCAGCCTGCTCATAGTGTGGCTGTGACTTATATGCGTATATGTGGTGGTGGTAGCATACCCATGTAATTCCAGCACATGCTTACATGCTTATATATTTTATTTCCCTACATTCTTTATATGGGGGGGAAAGCAGAGGTGTGCTTGTGTCATGGCATACTTGTGAAGATTATAGAACAACTTGTGGGAGTTAGTTTTCTCCTTCCTCCATGTCAGTCATGGGGATCAAGTTCAGGCCATCAGGCTGAATGGCAAAGGCAAATGCCTTTACTCACTGAGCCTTCTTGTCAGACTAGATTTCTATCTTAGAGGTCTCCCGGCACTGGATATGGTACTGGGAACCGAACTGTGATCCTCTGGAAGAGCAGCCAGTGCTCTTACCAGCTGAGCCACTTCTCTAAGCACCAGTGTGGCTGGTTCCTGTATCCAGTGTCTGCACACCCCCACCCCTCTCTGCGGGACTCCTCAGCTGCTTTCTTCCCTGTTCTCATAACGCTTTCTGGCTGCAGATGTACCAGCCAGATCTTCTGTGCCTGTGATCGGAATCGTTCTTGGTTTCTTGGTGGTCATAGTGGCTGCTGCAGGGGGTGTACTGCTGTGGAACAGGATGCGCAGCGGGCTGCCAGGTGTGTGCCAGAGGGGGAGGGGCGGTGGGGGGAGAGAGAGACAGAGACAGGCCCTGGCCACCCTGGAGAAAGAGCTGGGGTCAGAGACAAGAGTGGCCCTCATGGCGTGTGGGATGATGACACCTTGGTTACAGATGCTGACCTCTGTTCCTCTCTCTTAGCCCCATGGCTTTCCCTCAGCGGTGATGACTCAGGTGACCTGCTGCCCGGTGGCAACTTGCCCCCTGAGGCCGACCCTCATGGTGCAAATACCTTTCCAGCCACTTCCTGATGTCAACTCAGACCTCCAATACACATTGCAGCATTTGGTGCTGTGTGACCTCCTGAACTCCTGGCATCTCTGAGCCTTCTGAGGGAGACCTGGGCCAGATGTTCTCCTTGTGGACTCCTCCTTTTGTGGCCTGCCTCAGTTTCCCTTCTTAATGTACATGGCTGTTTTCCATCTCCACAAAATAAAGTTGGGTCCAAATCTGTGTGTGCACTGTTATTGTCAAGTTTCAGGCTGCAGGAATAACTGAACGAGTTTGGGAAAAGATTATAGACTTTTCCTGGTTGCCGTGATAGAACCTGTCCATTTTATATACTTAGTTGTGTATTTTTAGTCATAAATGTAAATGATACATACCTACACTGTGACAGGAATTTCAAGGAATTCAGCTTTGTGGCTTTGGATCCTTTCTTTCTTTCTTTCTTTCTTTCTTTCTTTTTTTCTTTCTTTCTTCCCTCCCTCCCTCCCTCCCTCTCTCCCTTTCGAGATAGTGTGTCTCTCTCTAGTCGTAGCTGTCCTGGAACTCGCTATGTATATACCAGGCTAGCACCGAACTCATAGAGATCCACCGCTTCTGTCTCCCAAGTGTAGGAATTAAAGGCAAGAGCCACCAACCCCTACCTCCTCCCTAAACCAATCTGAGAAATAAGAAAATGGCTTAAAAAATACTTTTCCCTTAATCTTCTGGGGCCAGAGCCTCTGGAGGTGGCAGTGAAGGTTGCCCTAAGCCTGCTGGGAGTTGTAGTTCAAGACTGCTTTCCAGGCTAGCGCTCCGCCGTGTGGACGTGGCGAGGGGCTCCCGGGACACTCTTGGCGCTCATTGGCTCCGCTATTGATCAGAGGGCGGGGCCTCTGGGCTGCCAGGGGCGGAGCTTGACTGGCGCCGCGCCAGGTTGGGCATCCTTGCTGGAAAGCGAGTTCACCGTGCTTCTCGAACCCAGGCCTGGTAACGGGAGTAAAGGTGGGGAGCTAGCCAGGGAGGGGGTTTCGGGTGGGGGTCGCGCGCGGTCAAGGCTGGGAGCCACGCAGAGGACCCTGCATGATGCTTTCAGCCACCACCATTCCCTGAGCTTTGCATGAACGTGCCACGTCTCCAACTGAACACCCACCAGCTTCTCCCCACCTGCAGACTCCCTATTCTTTTTGCCGACTTTTCTTGAGCCCCAAACCTTGTAGCCTGCATATATCTGCCATGCGTTAGGCAGCCCCTAGCTTTGAAGTTCTCTCCATATTTCTGGTTCAGATTTTTACCCCCGTATGATCCTCTGACCCCACTTCTCCCCAAGGACCGACGATGTGGCGATGGTCGCTTCTGTTGCTTTTCTTGCTGCTGAGGTGGTGGGCCCTGGGGAAGCCATCCCCTGACGCCGGGCCTCATGGCCATGGCAGGGTGCATCAGGGAGCCCCCTTGAGCGAGGCCCCCCACGATGACGCCCACGGCAATTTCCAGTACGACCACGAGGCATTCCTAGGACGAGACGTGGCCAAGGAATTTGACCAACTCAGTCCAGAGGAAAGCCAGGCCCGACTCGGGTAGGATGCCGGGAGCCGGGCAGAGGTGGGAGGTGGGGGAGAATTGAACTCACTGAAAAGGTCAGAGGCAGGAGACTGGACAGAACTGTGGTACTCACCTCCTGGGCAAAGGCAGAGTTAAACCTGAGGCTGTGGGGGACCTGTGTCACCAACACCCCTCTACTTCCATGCCTCTGTCTGGACTTTCCTATTCTGTCTTAGCTTCTCAATTGGTCACCAACTCTTCATAGAGACTGAAGAAATGAAATTTGAGAAGGTTCCCAAGCTCAGAATTCAGATTCAACTGGGAGGGATGGAGTCCGAGACTCCATCTCTGGAGGAGATTGGCCTGTATCTGTGTGGAGGACACAGTTAGCATGGCCCTGGAGACAAGAAGGCCACTCTTTGCATATATGCTTTAGAATTATCATCATCGTTATTTTGAGATAGAAACTCACAGTGTAGCACTAGCTGGCCTGGAACTCATTATGTAGACCAGAGTGGTCTAGAATGCAGAGATTCGCCTGCTTCTGCATCCTGGGTGCTGGGATTAAATAAAGGTGTGCGCCACCAGGCCCGGCTAACCAGTTGTAATTTTAAACTGGGCCAGTAGTGGCATTGAAAGGTTGCGGGACTGACCTGGAGACAGAGGACCCAAATTGATCTGCCCGTTCAGGGAAGTGGGTGGAGCTCGAGTCCACAGGCAGGCTGAGCCTGACGGAGTGGCCGGCCCTGAGATGGCAAGAGGTGGAGCTTCAAGGTTAATTGAGACTAGGGTGCGGGTAAGAGGCCGGACAGACTCGCTGTTACCACTTCAACTCAATTCACCTAGGGTTGAGGTCTGTGCAGAGCTTTGAGGAGGGGTTAGAGTAGAGGGTGTGGCCTTGGTTTGAGCCAGGTGCTAATCCACATCTCCTGTAGGGGAAGGGCTAGGCGAAGAGCGCGGGCGTCTGGATGGGCTGGATGCTGAGATTAAATGTGTCTCTCAGTTCATCTGGTCCCCTTTCGAGTTGCGCACGGCAGCATCTCTGAGGAATCGAGTTAGTGCGGGCAAAGACCTGCCAGTGACAACCTCCTCCTCATATGGCTGGAGCACAGCTTTAATCCCGGCACTCAGGAGGCAGAGGCAGGCGGATCTCCGTGAGTTCAGGACCAGCCTGGTCTACAGAGTGAGTTCCAGGACAGCCAGAGACTACACAGCGAAACCTTGTCTTGAGAAACAAAATTTCTCTCGCGCGTTGTTTTTGTTTTCTTTTGAGACAGAGTCTCTCTACATAGCCCTGGCTGACCTGGAGACTAGGCTGGCCTCGAACTCACAGAGATTCTCCTGCTGGGATTAAAGGCGTGCATTACCTCACCCCACTTTTTTTAATTTTAAAAAGATTTATTTATGTTAGAGTATGACTGTGGGTGTCTTTCCTGCGTGTTTGTGCATCATGAGTGTCTTTCCTGCGTGTATGTGCATCACGAACATGTCTGGTGCTCACAGAGGCCAGAAGAGGGTGATGGACTCCCTGGAACTGGAGTTTCAGATGCTTTTGACTCAAACCCCAGGTCTACAAGAGCAGCCAGGGCTCTTAACCAACCGAGCCATCACTTAAGTCCCCATTTTTTGGTCTTATGTAGGTACAAGCGTGTCTCTGCCTGCACGAAAGGAAGGGGCTTAGGTGGGCGAGGGTCAAGATTGAGATTGACTGCATCTCTATTCTAGCGTTGGGGCCTCATTGGGCAGGGAATGACACTTGTTCCCCTTGCAGGCGGATCGTGGACCGCATGGATCTTGCTGGAGACAGCGATGGCTGGGTGTCCTTAGCCGAGCTCCGCGCGTGGATCGCTCACACGCAGCAGCGGCACATCCGTGACTCGGTGAGCGCTGCCTGGCACACCTACGACATGGACCGCGACGGGCGCGTGGGTTGGGAGGAGTTGCGCAATGCCACGTATGGCCACTATGAGCCGGGTATGCCACCTTACCTTTGACCTTTGACCTCTCTTTTAGGACTTTATCACTGATACTTCTCCATTTCTGATCTGGCTTGTTCTTCCTTCTGAGATCCATCCTATGTGACAAGTTGACTGGAGACTTAACATTCCAGATCAGGAACACTTACCATCTGTGTGCTGTTGTCCTGACCCCATCTCTGTTTCTTTTTGGGACAGTCTTTCTATGCATTTCTGGTGTCTTAGTGTTGCTGTGGTGGAACATCCTGACCAGAAGCAAGTTGGAGAGGAAAGAGTTTATTTGGCTTCTGCTTCCACGTCATAGTCCATCACTGAAGGAAGTCAGGACAGGAACTCAAGCAGGGCAGGAACCTGGAGGCAGGAGCTGATGCAGAGGCCTGGGGAGTGCACCTTACTGGCTTGCTCCCGTGGCTTGTCTGTTTTGTTTTTCCAGACAGGCCTCACCTCTGTGACCATGCATCTCACCCACCTCTTCCTTTCCAGGGGAGGAATTTCACGATGTGGAGGATGCTGAGACCTACAAGAAGATGCTGGCTCGGGATGAGAGGCGATTCCGGGTGGCGGACCAGGATGGGGACTCCATGGCCACCCGGGAAGAGCTGACGGCCTATCTGCACCCTGAGGAGTTCCCACACATGCGAGACATCGTGGTTGCTGTGAGTGAGACTGCAGAGAGCCTGCTTCCCAAACCTGTCCTAGGTCCCCATATCTTCCACACAGATTCCAGGCCACCAACATAGATGTGGGGACAGCAGCCTCCCCGTCTCCTCCACACCCAGAGCCTGGTATCTCCTTGTCAGACCTGCTTGTGCTCTCATTGGTGTCCAGTCCCTGGCCCATGCCCAGACAGCCACATCCTCGGAAGAGCCTCAGGTGAACCCCAGTAGTGTCTGGGCCCCAGAAAAACATAGTTTATTTGACATGCACTTATCATACCCCATAAGTTAAGTATGTCTCAGATACCAGGTGTGGAACAGATAGTTGTAAGCTGCCCACTGTGGGTGCTGGCAACTGAACCCAGGTCCTCTGTAGGACAGCCAGTGCTTTTGTTTTGTTTTGTTTGTTTTTTGAGACAGGGTTTCTCTGTGTTGCCCTGGCTATCCTGGAACACACTCTGTAGACCAGGCTGGACTCTTTGAACTCACAGAGATCCACCTGCCTCCTGTGTGCTGGGATTAATGGCGTGCGACACCACGCCTGGCTAGCCCTGGGTTTATAATTGTGTACCACCCAGGCCCATTGTATGTGGGTCTTGAGTAACCCAGCTCAGGCCTCCATGTTTTTGTGGCACTGCAGTTTACCAACTACACTGTCTTCCCAGATCCTGAAGGTGTTTTGTAGGGTAGTTGATAGAATCCAGTGAATATGCTAATCAAGGCCTGTACTTCTGAGCCACACCCCCAGGACTTCACTGGGGGATTCTGGGTAAGGGGCTTTATTGCTGAGCCACACCCTCAGTATTTGGTTGCATCATCTTCTACTGAATTAGTTTGAATGTAAAAGTGGGGAACATGCTGGGCGTTGGTGGTGCACGTCTTTAATCCCAGCACTCAGGCGGCAGAGGCAGGCGAATCTCTGTGAGTTCAAAGAAGGCTAGCGTGGTCTACAAAGCTACACAGAGAAACCCTGTCTGGAAAAACAACAACAACAACAACAAAGTGGGGAACAGAAACCTTTTTTTTTTTTTTTTTTTTTTTTTTTTTTTTTTTTTTTTTTGGTTTTTCGAGACAGGGTTTTTCTGTATAACAGCTCTGGCTGTCCTGGAACTCACTTTATAGACCAGGGTGGCCTCAAATTCACAGATATTTGCCTGCCTCTACCTCACAAGTGCTGGGATCAAAAGCACTAGCCACCACGTCAGGCCCAAAAACGATTTTTTTAAATTAGGACAGATAACATGAAGAGTAGGCATGGTGAGTGTATGTGTCAAAAAATGATCCACGAAGAAGATGGTCTGATGGCTAAGAGCACTTGCTGTTCTTGTAGAAGGTTGGGGTTTGTTTTCGGCACCACTGTCTGTAACCCCAGCTCTGCAGGGTCTGATGTCCTTTTTGGCCTTGGGGCATTCTGCATGCACACGGTACACAGACATGCGGGCAAAACATCGGCACATAGAAAATACATAATTCATGAATCAGGCATGGTGTGCATGGCTTTAATCCTAGACCTCAGGAGGCAGAGTTCAAAGCCAGCCTGGTCTACAAAGTGAGTTTGGCCAGCCAGAGCTACACAGTGAGAGCCGGGCAAGTTTGGACACAAAGGTTTCCTGGCTGCCTTCCACTGTCACCTTCAAATCTCCCAGCTTTCCTCTCTGTGGAGACTGCTCAGATGCAGGCACACTGACCCTCCATCCCAATGCCTCTCTCCAGGAGACCCTGGAGGACCTTGACAAGAACAAAGACGGCTATGTGCAGGTGGAGGAGTACATCGGTGAGCAAGCCCCCATTCCGCCTGAGGCCTGTCATCTCCTGGCACCAAGGAGAGCAGTGGCCTTACTCTACTTGTATCAAACACCCATTGTGTGCAGAATCTACTGCATGGCTGGCCCGGGAAGCACTCATTGGGCACCTACTGCAAAAAGCATCAGGGTTTCCACAAAACCATGGCTCAGGCTCAAGATTTGTCTCTGTAAAAAACATTGTGTCTCCAGTTGTCCTGTTTGGGGGTCTTTGAAGGTGTTTCAGCCCACACTTAACTGTGTGCCCGCTGCAGCAGTACAGACATGGCCAAGGCACCAAACTGCTTCATTCCAGACAGTGTTAGTTGATCTGTCTGTCTGTCTGTCTGTCTATCTGTTTTGATATAGGGTCTTCGGTAACTCAGACTGGCCTTGAACTTGCTGTGAAGTGAAGACTCCTGTCCCCGTGCCTCTGCCTTCCCAGGGCTGGGATCACAGGCATGCATAGCCATGCCCTGTGTATACAGTACTGGGGACGTAACCAGGGGTGGTGTGCTTGCTAAACAGATACTCTACCAACTGAGCCATGTCTTCAGCCCCCTTGCATGGAGGTTTTGAGTTTGAAATATTTTAAGCAATGAATACCCAAGAAGGCATTTTTACTTAAACATCATGTACTTATCACATTTGTAAGGAATGGATGCTTTCTTTTTTCTTTTTTTCTTTCTAAATCATCTTCTTAAATAACATGTTTTATCTTCCAAACACATTTGTAGGACAAGGGGTCTGGTGTCCTGCAGGTGTGGGTGTGATGGAATAAGAGGTGGGGATAGAGGGCAGACATCAGGGAAGAGGGCTCTTGGGATGCAGGATGCAGGTCTCCTGGTCTCCAGGGCTGCCCCGACCTTATCTGCCCTACTCTTCCCATTCCGGCAGCGGACCTGTACTCTGAGGAGCCCGGGGAGGAGGAGCCTGCCTGGGTACAGACTGAGCGGCAGCAGTTCCGGGACTTCCGGGATCTGAACAAGGATGGGCGGCTGGATAGCAGTGAAGTGGGTTACTGGGTGCTGCCTCCATCCCAGGACCAGCCCCTGGTGGAGGCCAACCACCTGCTGCATGAGAGTGATACAGACAAGGTGAGCTTGGGCCACTGAAGGAACTCAGAAGAGTCCTGAAACACAGGGTGGGGGCGAGGAACCCAGAGGGAGAAACATCCTAAGCAACTGGAACATGTTTGTGGGCAGCCAGGCCACCAATTATGGTGAAGATTTGACAAGGCACCATGATGAACTCTGACTTGTGACCCCATGACTCCATGGGGCAACTGAGGAGTGCAGATAGCCCCTCCCTCCAGAGCACAGACTGAGCTCTGGTGTCCCTGATTCTTGGGCTCTCAGGGGACCCACTCAGTCATCTTCTCTCCCTGAGACCCCTGTCCCCCACCCTGGGGCCTCCGACATGCCCAGGGTGCTCAGGCACTCAAGTGACACCCGCTGTGATGGTCTCCAAGCACAGACCCGGGCCCACATCCTGGCCCCAACCCCAATGCAAGCCTCAGTCACACAGGTTGACCAGTGCTGCCCACTGCCTGGGAACAATAAAAGCCATTGCTGGGGTTTTCTCATGTGACTGTTTCTCTGGGGTGGGGTGAAGGATGCTGTGCCACTTCACAGAGGAGCATGCTGGGAGCTGGCTGCTGAGGCCTGCAGACAGGCAGAGGGCAGTGTTTCTCAACCTATGGGTCTCAGCCCCTTTTGGTCAAATATTGGATATCCTGTGTATCATTTATATTGCGATATAGTAGCAAAATTACGGTTATGAAGCACAAACAAAAATAACTTTATGGTTGGGGGTCACTCCCAACATGAGGAACTGTACTAAAGGGTTGCAGCACTAGGAAGGTTGAGAACCACTGGTCTAGGGCATTTGGACATGGGATATGGGTGTTAATGGGAATTTGAGGGCGTTTGCAGAGACTGAAAATAAAGCCAGCAGTCTGGAGGCCACAGAGGAAAGCCAGGCAGGAAGTCCTGCCCTTCAAGTGCTGCAGAGTGGTGGGGAAACCCAAAACCACAGTGAGAGAAACAACCTCAGTTCTCAGTGAAATCCTGTAAAGGTGCATAGTGTTTGTTAGCTATGTCTGTGAGACACCCTGTGAAGGTGCAAAGTGTTAGCTGTGTTCCAATGGAGTGGGCCAAAGGTGGAGAGGGCCTGGTGTTAGCTGGCGTGAGCTAAACGGAGTTATACATGCTTGTAATACCAGCACTCCAGAGTCTGGGGCAGGAGGATTGCTGGGAGTTCATGCCCAGCCTGGACTACAGAATAAGATTTCTATTGTAAAAAAAAGAAAAGAAAAGAAATTTAAAAAAAAGGTTGGAAGGAGGAATGGGAAGGGGGAATGATGTAATATATTTTAATTTAAGCCGGGCGTTGGTGGCGAACGCCTTTAATCCCAGCACTCGGGAGGCAGAGGCAGGCGGATCTCTGTGAGTT